TATATATAGAGGGAGAGAGAGAGATATAGAGATAGAGATAGAGATATATATAGACACACACACATACATAAAAATAGCATTTAGGGGATTTGAAACATTTATAATGTTTCTCCCTTTTAATTACACTTTTTGGTTGCAGTAATTTACAATAGAAATGTTTAAAAGCTGACTTGCCATGAAATTGAAAAGTCACCAAGTAAAGGAAGAAAACAATTTTTTCTAATAAATGATCTAATATCATAAGCATTTTGTCCAGTGGATTAAACAGATTCTTTTGAAATGTTAAGAATGTTCATCATAACAATAATCAGTAGATCTTTTCTTGAAGAAGAGAGCCAATGTGAAAGAAAAGAATACAAATAAAAGCATGAATTAATGGTATACACATCTCTCTAACCTTTGTATAACAAAAATATAATTTCTTTATTACTTTTACAAAAGATGCAAGTTGAACAGATACATGTAAAAAAAAAAAAAGTTCATGAATTTAAAAATTACCATCAAAGAAATTGACAATTGGAAACATCAGCTCTCTTTCTTACATACAAATATATGCTTTAGAATGTAATAACAATCCAAGCAATATTCTCTGCTAAAGTTTATTTTCTTTGGTGTTTTAAATGTTGTTCCACACTCTAGCATTAAAATATATTAATCCCGAAATATTAAATAATCTGATTCATCATGTAAATTTGTAGAGATGTAAAATTGTCTCTCTTTCTGATTTTAAATTTAACAATACATTCTTGAAAATTGTAAATACAAAAATGAAAACAATGTTAAAATAGAAACAGAATGCATTGACAAAAAGCACATATCAAAAGAAAATAATATAATTCCTGTCAACATGGAAAGCTGGTCAGAACATTTTTATAATTATTCATAATATATTCTGTAATTTCATTACATGCACTGTAATTTATTGAATGTTTATTAATCATTTTTGATATTAAATAATAATTTGACAATATAACAATTCTTCTCAATGTTACAACCAACAAATAATCAGGTTTCAATGGGATGTTAATTAATGATTTCCTTTTTTATTTATCCCATGTTTTAGAACATTTATTGTTCCCTCATTAGTGTGTTGATTTTAAAATTGTTGTTGGTACACTGATTACATTGTAAACATATACAATATACATTGCTCTTTTATTCTAGACAATAATAAATAACAATTTACGAATTAAAATAATATTATTATTACTATTTCAAACACCTTACCTTATTAATAAGTTGACTATTTATGCCAAGAGAGTGTCTCATATTTACAGAAGCCTACTACACATTTGTCCACCACTCCTTCTCTCAAGGTCATGTGGATTAATGAAGGCTGCTGTACATGGGTGATATAGCGTATATACTCCAGTATACATTCATCTCGTTAGTAAGATAAGGTGCTTAATATAATATGGACGATTATTTTGATTGAAGAATTAGTTTATATTTTTTTTTTTTTTGTAGAAGAGTACAATTATTATATTACATTACAGAAGAGAATTACATACAGAAGAGTACATTATTAGTACAAACATTATAATGTAATCAGTGTAGTAACAACACTCTTAAAATCTACACCCTGATGAAGAAACAATAAATGTTCTAAAACAGTTTAAAAAAGTAGTTTCATTGGACAACATCCCATTAAGATGCTTGAGCTTGATGCTTGCTATTTTTTAAAGGTTAGACATCTTTCTGTACTTTCCTTGAGTTTAATTTCTAGGCATACTCAACTACATAAAAGTGTAAAGAATAATTTAAGCTTTAAATATTGACAAAAGTAATTTAATAATACACATTTCATTCATTTGAAATTATTTTGTTATGTTTCTGAACATGAATTGGCATAACACCACGAAGAATTTGATTTGATGAAATTAAAAGCTTGTATTTCTGGCATTTTTTAATCTGCCTAATTTTTTATATTTTTGTTAATTACTTTATTTTGCTGCTTTAGTATTGAATGAAAATAATCAATATTTGACAATAGTGTACTTATTACTGAACTAATTAATATAAGATAAGTAGGAATTGAGACCCAGTATTTCAAACATTTACTCCCTTAGTACACATTAATTATCATCATTTCAAATTGAAAATTCAGAAGAAGTCAGGAATTCTTTCCATACGCAATAATTAATAAAATGGTAATACTGCAAGAAATTTAATGTTTGGATTGACACCGTGAGAATCCTATGCAAATTGTGCTAATATGAACAACACTTGCAGTATCACAGAAAACTTAATTCTAAAAGTATTAATGCAATAGAGCTAAATTACTCCAAGACTGAAACAGAACATTTTAAAACTTTGTTTCAATTATTTAATAAATAATTATCTATACTGCTCTAAATATGCAATAATTTACAGTGTGTTCCGGAAAAAATGCACAAATGCACAGGAGAAGTAGAGGGGGTCAAGGGAAGAAGTCAATGAACCCCTGGATCTAAGAAGTTGGTGCTCTGCACTTCACTGTTTCATTGATTAAACCTACTTCCCTTGATCTCCTCTACTTGACGTCCGCGATTGCGCACTTTTTTTGAAACATCTGTATTTGTGACACAGCACATGAAAGGCAATTCTCCAAAAGAGAGAGAGAAAGGCAGAGACAGATTCATTGCCACCTGACAAAATTATCACATTGTTCTCTGGAATGATACTCAAAGTCAATAGCACCCTATTTTGTCCATTTTATTAAAAATTGATTTCCATAAGATTTAAACAGCATAAATACAACACATGGTCTCAGCAACTTTCATTTGAGCTATACTGTTTTGTTAATTACAATAGATTTTTTTAGCTGTATGGAAAAATTGACGTCTTATATTGTTCAAGAATTCAGCATTTTAAGTTTAAATCATCTTTCCTAATACTAATTATTTCATTACAGACAGAACATTATAGTGTACACATTTATTCTCATTCTTTCCCTAATAAATTGTTGTCCCATTTGCATAACAATAGTATTCAGCACCTAGGTAAATTATAATTCTTGCAATTTTAATGAACACACTAGGAAGTAAACAATAGAAGAAAACATACATAGATTATTGATATGTAAATACTCCTCATGTTATATTAAAAGCAATTAAATCTACTTGAAAAATTATTCAGAAGGTAATGCCATCCTGAAGGTGAACATAAACCGAGGGAGATGGATAAAGTTCTCAGATATTATAAATCAATGAAATGCCATGTTACTATATATGTACTATCAAATTACATGGTAGACAAAGACTAAAGTGCTGAGAAATGTAATTAACTTTCAAGCTATTATAACAAATGTAGTATAGAGTAATATTGGCATATAATTACTTGACAATCACTAAATTGATCATTAAAATGATTTTTTTCTCCCTTTAATTAATAATATAACATCCATAACACTAAAATATAAGTGAAGCACCCTAGAAGTTATCCTAAAGTAATGCAAAGCAATAAAAAATTTCAGTGTTTTCATTCAAAATAACTATTAGAGCAATACATTACTGATCATCATAAAAATTTAAAATGTCATATTGCAGTAGCTAATTCAGACCTGGCAGCATGAATAATTCAAAATGTCTAAAAAAAAATCAGTGATAAAGTCATAATGGTACGTAATACCCTCGATTAAACGCAATTATCAATTAATATAATTGGCTGATCTTTAGCAATAAATTTTTTTCCCATTTTACTTAAATATTTTTCAATAGTGAGGAAGTTAGCAGTTGAAGAAACAATAACATTATGGCAAAGAAATTGAAACATCTGAACAGGAAACATGACAAATGAATACATACATTAGAAGGAAATACAGTAAAAACACAAATAAAATTACAGACTATAATTCACATTTCCAATCTCTCTTTTAAATTGGAAAAAAATATTTATTAAGAGGAATATACATTTTTTGTATTGGCCTTAAACAGGAACAGACAGGCAACAGGAAACAAAATTAATTCAGATGCCAATTAATCAGCACCACTAACAATTATACAGATACTGACACTAACAATTAAAAAAAATTACTTGAAACAAAATATTATCATTACAATACATGAAAAATATCAATTATAAAGTTTTGAAAATTACTGATGAATCATTATCAATAGTAAACATTATGCTGCCAGTTTTTCTTCACTTGAGAAAAACTCTTCAATGACAGATTTTGGGTATCAAGAATATACATTGAAGCATTAACTTCATATTTCTGATCAAACTGAAAAGAACAGAAATAACGGAGAGACTTTTCAATTCAAAGAGATTCAAGTAACTTTTCACTTCCAAACAAGGAAAATAACAAAATTATTTACCTTTTGCTCCTTTATTTAGTTAAAAATAATATTTGAAATTTACCATTTTGAAAATGAATTAGTAACCTGCAAATAAAAATGTCCTCTAAGAATTTTATTCATAACTTAGAAAACATTACAAATTGTGAATTTATAAACTATTTTAGTTTCAAATATCTTTTATCTAATACGTAAAGGCAAGCCTGTGTACATCAAATCCATTTAACTACAGAATATTCAAACAAAATTAAAAAGAATGCAACCTAAAGGAAAAACGAACCTACTCAGTAATATTAAAACTATGAGGCACTTTTCAATCCTCAAACAATATGACACTTCTAGTATATTCATTCATAATACATCTGACAAAATTTAATGCTATTTATGATATGCTGACATATCGTTATGATTGCTTCATATGAAACTTTCATAAATAACATATTCTTATAATTATTGATGGGATCATTAAGTGTATATTCTGAATTTAATAGTTATAACACCATGTCACTGTTTAATCAAATATCTTTGGCAACAACACCATGCAGATTTAGAATATATTGTAGAAATATTTTGTTTCTTTTACATGTTCATATCATAATGAAATAGGTTATACTAAATATTTCTTGGAGTCACAAAAGCATTCCATAAGTACTATTTAAGGAGTTTTGCACGACTTGAAAATTTTTACTGATTTTTAAACAAGTTGAAAATTTAGATGGAAAAAACTTGCCACTGGAACTCATGAAAGTTGTCTAACAGTCTCAGAACTTTATAATGCAATTATAGGAACAATATAAATGAAGACATTTATGTTAATGACATTTGTTACTTCACTATTTGATTTTAAATCGAATATGTGGAGAAAATATAATACTGGTAAGAAAAAATTTCAAATAAATGCTCTTCAGTCAATATTCCATTTCAAAAGATGGGATGATTTTATTACATCTCAATTATATAACAGGTCCACTTTAGGTCATGCTCTTTTGAGACTAGTCACATGATAATTTAATTGAAGGGCTCGGAAGCAGATAATCCTCAGCCATTGCAGACAAACTGAGTTATAAGACAAAATATGTCACAGCCCTTGACTATAAATACAAGAAATCTCTAATAAACTTTATTGTATTACTCTGCCAAGTGTCAAAATTTATTACTACTTACCGAGAAACTAACTGGGAGGCTGAGGGCTATTTAAAAGGCAATGTCTAAATTTTTGTCCAAATTTAGCATAGCGCTATCTGATCTCAAGTACTTTAATAGAAGATGGTCAAAACCATAAAAGGATAGTCAATAAATTTTGCCTTGTGTATACAGAGAATATAATTCATATGTTGGAACATGTAGCGACTTTTGCACATTTCTAATAATTCTATTTTAAATAGTAATGATCATATGATATCTCAAACTAAAATATTTTAAATTTCAGAGTGTAACATATGATTTCACATAGAAATATGTATTGCAAAATTTCTTTTGAAGTAGTAATAAAAAACAGGTCATAAGATGTTGAGGATTCTGAAATAACTAATCAGAAAGCGACAATTGCTGATCATGGCAGGACTACGGAAACAAATAACTGAGAAGAAAAGGAGGTGTTTGATGTCATAATTTACCAGAACAGTAATGTAAATTTCATTATCATCATTAATTACTATGTAAATATTAATTATTTAAATTCATTAAATTAAATAAAGTAAATTTAATGGCAAACTTATATATGAATGTGGGTAGCTACACAACAAATTTGCTTTTACAAGTATAGTACTTTTAGTGTACAAGAAATACAAAATTTCTTCATAAATTTTCTTTTATCAATGCATTCTATTGATTTCTTTAAATACTTACAATATGGACACAATGTATGGGATCCAATTTGAACCAAAATAAAATGAGACGAGTTCTTAAATAATTCAATAGCCTTAAAATAAAACAACATATTTTCTCAGAAATATGATAATATGTAACTTAAAAATAATTGGTGATAACTTTACAATAATTAACGAGTATTAAACCTTTCAATAAGTCATGTATTTGTGAACTTAAATTATATTTTCAAACAGCATTAGAACTTTCAAGGCCTTTCAACTGTTGAAGCTTCTGCATCTCAGTGGAAACACAAGGGGAAAAAAAGCAGATGTATAATAATGAAGAGTAAGATATGAGAAAACTATGAACTCTTGTAAAGTAAAACCTTGTAAAAACCCAAGTAGTACAGTAAAGAAAGAAATAGCAGTTTGTGTCCCTTCCCACGAATTCTTTTCCTTTTCTCTTTACACTGCATTTCTTAACTTTTGCATGTGGTTTTAATGTACTAGAAAGTGAAGTCATCAAACCTCTAAAGGGAGACAAAATAATTCAAATTACCCTCTAAAAGGAGATAAAATAGGGATTAAAAATAACATGAATAATACAAGAGGCATAATACTGAATAAAAAGGTACCTGAAAGGGAAAAAGTATAAAGGAGAAAAACTGCATGGCTTTGAGAAAGAACAGTGACAAAACTGTAGACAGGCTGGTCCAGTGCCAAATTTACTTATTCACAGACCCCAAGCATAATAGTAGTTATAGGGGGGTTCCTAATACTTTTAAATTAAAACATACAAGGACAGAGAATGAGGACTGTGATAAAATACCACTAGATTGAGACATTAGTTAACTGTATGGAGTAAAACAAAGACCACCTTTTAATTTTCAAACCAAGAAATGAAAATTTCAATTTAGTTGTTGGCTAATAATATTACTTAGGATGTGTTTCTTCAAAAGCATCAAAAGAATAAAATATGTGCGATGTGGATCAATTTGTTTGTTGCTAGGAGAAAGGTGAGTATGAGTTTTTGCAGGGGAGAAGTTATGAACAATCAATGGACTTATAGGTGAGGTAGCACAAAAAGTTAGCAGTAAACAGCCTCACAACAAAATTAATAAAAATTGTGGCCAAAATCCCCTTCTCTAAATTAGAAAACAAATGACATTTAAAATCCTAACATAGGATACAGAAAGTCATACTTTGTTTCAAATATATCTAAATCAGTAATGTTCATTTTGTAACTACATACTATTATTTTTAATATCGTAGGCACACAAATCAATCTCAGATTTTATATACATGCAGTTTAACTGTCTGGCTTCAAAATAAAGTAGAATTTATTTTTTTCTACTTTGTTTTATTTTATTTTCAAGATCTTTAATCTCTACAATAGCTATAAATAAAATTCAGGTCATTGAAATTTACACACATTTACAAAAATTAACTATTAAAGTTATCCTTTAATGATCATTATTTTATAATTTCATAATTATATATTATTATTATTATGTTATTATATTATCATTTATTAATGAAAGTATTGTTATTGATATAAATGACTGGTCCTTATGAAAAAATATTTTCTTAAGAATTGAACTTGCAATAAATTCTGTTACTTCCTATTACAGTAACATTAATTTTTGCATCTGCACAAGATTTTCTTATTCATCTCTTGTACAACGACCGTTTTTCAGATGTAATAAGTTAACAGTTAGGCACAGTTGATTGCAAATTACTATGTAATAACAGTCTTTAATCATGCCAACTTTATAATACAATGAGTAAATTTTAAAGTTTGAAGAATTGTAAACTAGGGCTAAAAATAGCCATTACTAACAATTACAATATCCATTCAGTAATGCAACTTAGATAACGAATTTATTTTGTTTTTATTATCTTCACTGAGCTCTTTACAAATAAACATGAAAATCAAAGCTAAAATAAACAATTTTATATTGAATTTATTTTTTCTTCTCAAACAAAATTTTTTATACAAATCACACTTTTCTTAAACCTAACAATTTAATGACTCATTCTAAAGTTCTGAATGTATTAGAACTGAAGACCCAAAGCTTAATTTATAAGCTTGCATCCAAGGCTTCAAACTTGAAATTGTCTCAGCACTTAGATATTTAAATGAATTCAAGTCTAAAAGAATTCTTTTCACAAGATATCCTTCACTAAAACAAGTTAAGAAGTAGCCACCTATTTTTTGCAAGAAATTTAACAAATTCAAATTAATAGTTCAAACTGAACACAAACTTGAAAGGCAAATGTCTGCTAATCTTGAATTTATTGCCCAATTCTGATGGGAGACAAGATTAATATCACAAAAGATTCAGATCTCCACTCTTCAACAAATAAATTCCATTGTATTATTAAATTTGATGATTAATATAAAAATAAAATAACATGCGTTGCAGAAGTGTGGATCATTAGAGAGCAGAAAAGGCACAATGGTGAGCACAAATTAAATTGATAAAGTGGTTAGGAGAATGGCTAGTCAAATTCACGATTTCTTTTTCAACAACTGGGAAGAAATTAGGCAGGTCTATCATGTTTCATAACATTTAAATTCTTAAATAAAAGTAACAAACTAGAGCTGCAACATTAATACACAGATACAATGTTTGAAAGGTTGGACTGGAAAACTATGTACAAAGACAAGATGGCTAATAAAGAAACAATACAAGTCTTATTTGCCTCTTAATAACAAGAGTATTAAGTAATATAACAAAGATCACCTGATATCCAAGCCTAATTGGGGCCCCAAATAAAATAGCAACTATAAACAATGTGTGTAGCTTTTACACGTAATACTACAAATATACATGTGGAGGTGCTAGTATTGAAAATTACTGCTGAAATGCAAGAATAACATTGCTAACATTAGCAAGCAAACAAACCCACAAAAAATATATTTTTATAGCGTTGTTATATTTTTATAATCACAGAAACTTCAGAAATTACAGTAGTAAAAGAGGGAATGTTTTTATGACAAATCTTTAAGCATTTATTATGAAAGGCAAATTCTGAAAATTTGCTCCCACAGTATATAACCACAGTAAAATATAAGCACTAGAACAGTAATGTCAAAATAGCCAACCCTTCGGTATGACTGACAACACATTCACTCATTTTTACAAATCATAATCAGCCATTAATAAAAGAAATGCACAGATCTACAACAAGAAATGAATAGTGAACAATGACATATGATAGCATTGTCCTCAATACACAAAGTTTAAAGTAAATTTAACACTGTTCTTAATTTGTGAAGTTTGGTAACAACAATTCACTCATATAATACAGTTGTTATCTGATCAATTTATTAAATAATCTTTAATACTATGAAAACCCACATTAGACATTAAGGTCCCCATAGAGCTATGGAAAACTCAAATGGATTCATGATTGACTGGATGGACAGTATTGTGCATAATAAGATTTGCACAAGATGTGCATGTGCACATGTTAATTTGAAAACAGCATGCACAGGAATGCAAGTGATATCTGCTAAATGAAGCTGACAGTCACTTGCAATCAGGAATACATGCAATAACAAACTCCCATTTTCTTGTTCATTGCAGACGACCATTACTCCTCACCGTCATATTTCAATTTCGCAGAGGATCCAAGCTCTCCAAAGAAAAGTCATCATTTCCAAAAGATAATCCCCTACTGAAACCATCCTGAAAAAAAAATTAAAAAATACAAATTGATGAAATATAACATAGTTATATCTTTCCAAAATTGTCTGAAATGGCATCAAAAATTGAAAATAACATTTCTTAAAGCACAGAACAAACACTTTCTTTAATTTAATTTTTATCTCTTGAAAAAGATATTAACTCACCTTCATTTCCAAAATACGTTTGTCAAGAAGTCCAATGGCATTTTCAAGGTATTGAGATTCCTTCCCACTAGAGAAATCTCCCATGCCAAATGGATCAGTAACTGCAGACGATTGTGCTGGGGAATTCATTTTTGGCACAGTATTGGTCTGTGGAGCAGCTGAAGGGTTAAATGGTGTGGATCCAAATAAATCCTCTTTAAAGGGGTTGTCAGTAGTCGTTGGAGCATATGTACCATTCACAGGATGGGCACGGCGTGAATCTCTCGACATTTTTGGTGGGGGTGCCACTGGAAAGCAATCAATATTTCGTAAAAACAAACTGTTGAGTTGTCAATATGAAGATTTTAAGACCAATACTTTGTTTTAAAACCAACATGAATGAAATTAAATTTACAAATAAATCAGAAGTCACGATAAAAAATAAAAATCTTCTTGCGAATATACTGGAGTAAAATTAATAAAATGCAGAAAGCTCAGAAACTGTCATTGAATATTCTCTATAATGATGAGCTTATAATTGAAGTAGACAATTGAATTGTAAGATCTGACAAAAAACTAATGACAAGAGAAATAAAAAATTATGTCCAAGAAGAGTTGAGAAAACGGAAGTGATATAACTGATACTGTTGTAGCTAGAATTTTAGAAGCTTACATCTAGGAGCTGCAGTTTTGTTGCAAGTGTCTGTATCCAAATCTTGACTATCCATAACAGAGACTGGAGAATTGCCATTTCCAACAGAGCTCTCAAAGGCACGTGGATCAAAGTCATCATCAGTGTCCAATTCATCCAATAGTAACCCTTCCAGCCTAGTACCTACAGTTGGAGGGTCAGTACGCATCGAAGAACTGAAAATGCAAAACATGCAAGTTGTAAACTTTTAATACAAATAAAATAATTTATCCAAATTACTGAAACTTATTTAATTACTTGTTACGAGATTGTTGAAATTTTCTATGCTCAATATATCATAAATTAATAGTTTTATTTAAAGGAAATTTCCTATTCGTTTAACTAGTATGACTCAAAAACCACCGCTACCTGCTTACTTTCGTTCACCGATCTTATGACATCTGAGTGTATTCATAACGATAAGGAATAAGAACTGGACACATCAATGCTGGCTCCACCTTTTAGTGCATCTAATTTTATATTGTCAATCCAGGTAGCCGAAATCACTAAGACAGTAAGAATCCCACCTCGGACATGGATGCATTGTGATTGTTCTTTTACTCACCATCACCATCACCATCACCATCACCATCACCATCACCATCACCATCATCATCATCATCATCATCATCATCATCATCATCATCATCATCATCTCACTTTATTAAAGAAGTATTAATAATTCCCTATTCAAGCAGGAGGCCCTTGCCTTTAGAGATGAGATGTACAGTTGGCTAAACAAAAAAAATAAAAAAAATTCCATTCTAGGTCTTGTCCGTTATTGTAAGGAGTCGACTCTGACGTCACAACATCGGAGAACGAAAGGAAAAACTAGCGGCGGGAAGGAGTGCATTTGTTGGCGTAATTTGAATGACAATTAAAATGTATCCAATTCAGTCAATATTTAACACAATAGTTTACTAATATCAACATCCAGTGAGATACTCTAGTATTTTAAACAACACAATTTAAACTTGTACACAATATTAATAAAAACAGTTCCTTCAGATGTTATACGGAGCAAAGCATATGACAACTTACGTCAAGGAACTGGGAGTCTCGAAAGCCCGTGGTGGAACTGGGGGTGGAGGAGACTGCAGACCATTGCCAGCATTGACAGTGCTGCTGCCACCACCACTGGTGTTGAGGCTGGTGCTCAAATTTAAGGAAGCAAGTTCCTATATTGAAAATTTGAAAAAGTCCACTTTTCTGACATATTTAGTGGGGAAATTAAAACTACTATTTTTTTGAAGGTTTAAAAAAGAAATTCTATAGTAATTCGATAATCTATGAAAGAAGTTTACTTTATTGCTCAAAGACATTTTGCGAAAACTTATTTTATTCATTTAATACTAATTACTAATATCAACAATATTTAGTGAATGTTAAAAATACGAAACAACTATTATAAATGCTATTAAACACTACTACTATTAATAACAATAACAATTTTAAATATCCAAATAAAGGAAAATCAGTTTAGGTTAATCAACAACAGTCCTATCCCAAACCACAAATGTCTAGCATTTTCATCTCCTAATTATGAATAAAAAGTATTAAATATTCTTATAATTGTTTTTGGTTAGCTGGACAACCATAAATTAACTTTGCAAACATATAGTCTGACACAATAATAAGAAATACAAATGAGTCTTACAAAGCCTGTATCATATTAGAATGTATGAGAAACATACCAACTTATTAACTGAAGTATCAGGAGTTGATGTTCCAAGTAGATCATAACTCACGCCTGAGGAGCTGGGAGAATTAGAGGTGTCAGAACTGCTGGAAGTAATTCCAGGAGCACCTATCGGAGACGTGGGTAATGTAGGAAGACCAACCAAGTCCACAGTCAGTAGATCCTGCACACCTTCACGAGCCAAATATCGGTCTAATTCGGCCTGAGGAAAGGAAGGGCAATTAGTACCATTCTACATACAGCCACACATTTGCTCAGCAGAGAACAATAGGCAGATTGTTGACAATTGTACCCCTCAAATTGCCTTGTGCATTTACAAGTGAAAAGGTTTACTAAATAAAGGTCTGCCGACTTTCGGCGGCAAGTGGGATTTTCAGGAGTTTCAGCTTTCCCATAGCAATTTTTTATTTTATTTTAAAGAACTTCGTGCATTTGGAAGGTCGTGGCGCGGCGCGGCGCCGGGAAGCGCAGCGGCCTCCAAGCAGAAAGGCGGAGGATGGTGCAGCGACCTTAGTGACCACAGCGGTCAAATTTCCCTTTCAAGAAAAGGCCAGCGAAGCCGCCTTCCACTATATACAGGGGCGGATCCAGGGACGAATTTGGGGAGGGAAAATTTTTATTGAAAATGTTTCGTGACAAATTCAAATTAATATTTACTGAAACGTTTTCAGAGGGGAAATTTCCCTCATTCCCCTCCCCGTGGATCCGCGCCTGAACTATAATCATGGTCCAGCGTCCAAAAGAATCAAAGTGACAAGGAAATCACAATACGTATGTTTTCATTAGCAGCGTTGTTCGTTAGGTAGATTAAAACATCTTTAAAAGGGCATACTTGTATAATGTGAGATGGTGGAATTCTTGCGAAACATACTCCACAGCACATATTCCGACGCCAGTTTTTTGAAATAATTTTGCGTAAATTGGCTCGGCAAGCCAGTTGTCTTGTTTTGAAGGACATTGGTAGATATCCAAACGGTAGCAAAAACACCTACTTTTCTCCGTTTCACTGTGAAAATCGCGTTATTCCCGGACACCCCGTCCGTCCCACCCACCCGTCTGTGCTAAATTAGGAAATTTTATGAGTAAAAAAATCCTCAAATTTGCACAATACACTCCGAGATTATAGCAAGACCCCAAGCAAATTTGGAACGTTAATTGAATAATTTAATAGGAGTACGAAAACGAAATATCCTGTAGGAGTATTCTTCACGGTCCAAATACCCCAAAGTTTTTACTTCTACCTTTTTCTTTGGGCATGTCTTAACAGCTGATGCGAAAAAGTCTTTTCTCAAACTTTTCACGAAACTTTATGTGCACATCTTACTATATTCTTTTTTACTTTCATTAGCACTGTGTTGAGAATATACAGGCGTGTTTTGTTCACAATATTTACGTTGCACACTTGTTCCAACGGTAAAAATACGTAAAGTATAGTTGGAATGTGAAAATGATTCATGCTATCTTCTTATTGAATGATCAGTTTGGGTTTTTTATTTCTTATAGAAAGTGGGCGATCTCTTTTAGCGAATCGAGGGAACAGCTTTATTTAAGGAGTTTCAGAGATTGAGATTTTACAACTGATTTGTTTTTTTCGAGTTATTGTTCATTGATTACATATTTTAAACTTTTGGAATTATTCTTTATCGCTGAAATTCAGTAAAGTTTGAAATCATTTCAATGAAATTGCAGATCTATTTCATTAATCGATATATTTGCAAGTTTTTCGGGTTTTCAATGGAATATTCCGTTCATTTGCGTTAACGAGCCCTTCGGCTAAGTGTTGCACTGACCGACGGCGCGAGTTTGGCGACGTCTCCCAGGCGGCGCCGTAGCGCGCTGGCCTCCGCCTCGGCGCGGATGGCGCGCTGCTGCAGGAGGATGAGGCGGCGCTGCGCCTCCAGGTCGCGGCCAGATGTCTCCATGAAGCGGCGGTACGCGAGATCGAACGCCTGCCCGATGGTCAACGTTATCTCCTCTGCCTGCAAGGAAAACAGACGGTGACACTCGCAAGCAAAACTACTTTGCTACAACTATTCTTGCAAATGACTGTCCGCTTTGTAAATAAATAAATTAAATAAATCTTCCTTCAATTTGCAGACAGTAAAAATGTGCATATTCATGTTGTTTCTTACATTAATATTTTAAAGTAAAAACAGAATGAATGTAATAAATAACAAGATTTTGATTGTTATTAATCAAAGCTCTGTTTCAAGGATTATTTATTTTTTATTGAATTATATTCATTTTCAAGTCTAAATGATAGCGGAAAAGGAAATAAATTTTGTCTACTATTAGACTTGTCTAATGAATGACGAATGTCAATATCTATAAGAAACACAGAAGAAAAAAAGTACATTAGCTTAAAATTTTGTTGCGATCATAGTCATGTTTTTGGTAGTTTCAGTTATGCAAAGCATCGCTCAACGATAACACCCTTCCAAAAAAGAATGATTGTTATAAAACCTTTATGATTGTGCGATACGTATGGCGTCATTTATATTACGGTATTGTGCGGATTTAATTTCAAACAAATTCATAGTGACATTGTTGCTTTTCATCATTTCGTAAATGCCTGGACTTTCATATTCTGGAGTAAAACCATTAAGGCTAGGACATCTTCACACTTGTATTCACATTCACTTGCATTGCACGTTACATAGTCGCTTTCTATTAATGTATTCATCCCGAAGGATCATATGCTTTTAATAGGAATATGTGAACAATCAATGGCGCAGACAGTGGAAATAGAAGTATTGTTATTGTGCTATTTTTATTTAATCATTTCCTAAACGGATTGTGAAAATTTAATTCATTTTGGAGTAATTTCCATTACACCATAAGCTCGTACAACTGTATTTGTAACAGTTGTTTGGAAACTACCTTGGCGAATACCCAAATATTCAACATCTCACTGAAAACCATGATCAAATGCTTCTCAATAAATAAATAAATAAATAAATAAATAAATAAATAAATAAATAAATAAATAAATAAATAAATAAAAAATCTGTTCATATCAGTAGTGAAACGCCTAGTATCCATTTTTTGTTGACCGAAAACATGCGTTGCTAAGAACTAGTATTAGCATTTCTCACAAAAAATCAGTTTCCACGCTGCTACGCCACACTACTCCTTGCCGTACTCTTCTCGTTTCCTACTTTTATGGACAAATCCATTCTTGACCCTTGACCCAAGACTAGCCCTTACGAAAACGGTACCTTACTTTCAAAACAGACACGTCAAGACAGGACTCAAAACGATCTGAGAATATGCTCAGCGAAATTAATTATCCGCTTTTATTCATGTAGATGTGAGCTATATTAGATCAGACCAGCCCTGAGGAGGACCACGAGATAATTGAAACGTCGGCAACACAGCCTCCGACGCGGCGTCACCCGACAGCCAAGATCGCGACTCTTGTCACGGCAGCCTACGACTTCACTATATGGTCTAATAAGCCAAAGAAAGCGACGTTTTCTCAAGTTTGAGAATTTAATCAGTTTTTGAGAATATTCTCAAAAGTTTTAAGCATGCTTTACCGAGCACACGACCAGAAACAGAGATAAAATAGTGTAAGCTCGTTTTTATTCATACTACCCATTGTCTTCAAACTCCTTTTTCTCATATGTGATAACTTCATCATGAACTAACTCACCACGCTTCATTTTGTTCAGATTCTTTTTACAGGAAGGGCTATTTGAATTTCAACTTTGTTAAATTTTTTCTAGATTTTCATCTGAACAATTTATAAAGTTGTCTTTGAACTGTTTTAGTCTTGTTTTAATTGCTGTATTACGCCTTTCGTATTACTTTTCATTTTGTGCAATTTCAAAACACCGAATCCACTTGTCTGCAAATAATTGAACAATGGAAGTATTACATTGAAAATTCGAATGAAAGTATGCACCCTTAATATAGTCAAAGATGCACTGTCAACAACCAGCGAATATCCCCGACAGTATTTAGTCTTCCCCGACATGGTTCTTCATTTACGTTTTTCCCAGATTTTCATATGAAAAGGAGATTCTCGTAGAAATACCGAGACATCTTATAAAGTTGCAAACCAAGATGAACCGAAAATTCAGCATTGGACGTTTCAGCCAATACAGATTTCACACGTGATCATAAAAACGCAGGAACATGTTGAGTATTTTCTTTAAGCAGTTTAGCAGAAAAAACTGCGTGACTCACAAAAACGTCAGAAGACGAATCGGAGGAAGATGTTCGGTGTTGACTGTTTTAGTGATTCCGGGCACATCAACAAACATGGTCATTGGTCCCGTAAGTGTAGTGCATGTTTTGCTCTAAAGGTGGCTGTGATCTATCCCTCGCTGTATAGCGAGATCCAACGCCGACCTACCGTCGGCTACCGGTGTTTCTTCAACCAGGTATCTCCCGCCAGCGAGACACCGCCCCAGCCGGCACAAGCTCTAAGCTCCCGACCAGTCTCTCGGAATGTGTGCTTGTGTAGTGCGTGTTAGTGTAAGTGATTGTGTGTAAGGGGAGAGGATAGGACAAGGAAGAGGTAGGAAAGATCGCAAGCGGTCCGTGGCCAGTTTGTTAGAGTACTGCTCCGGTATTCGCCTGGTGTTGACCGGAGAAACCACGGAAAACTACCTATCAGAGCAGCTAGAATTCTCCTCCAGACAGCGACTGGAGGAGACCAGCCAACCAGCCAACTTCGACCTCGCTTTCAAGCTAGTGTCCAAAAGCCTGCCACCGTCGGGACTTGAACCTAGGACCTCCCGGTCAGAGGGACCGCAGCGACATTAAGGTGTTCGGTACATGCAATCACAACGCTAGTGAGAGCAGTCCAGCTATTCTTCTATTGTAAATGAATTAATATTTGAGGAAGCGAAGTAAATAGTTCCTTACCAGTTTTTCGCTGACAAAAACGAAGCACGAGTGGGCGTCCCGCTCCGCCTCTTTGGCAATGAACGAGAAGAAGCGCTTTTCCCCCTTATCGTCGGCGCAGTAGCTGATGCGGTGCAGGGGATACTGATGTAGAATCCGCTTACTTTTTGGTTCCTGAAACAAGTCATTTACAACTATACTGATCCAGTCACGCCCGAATGTCTATTACTGGAAGCCTCTAGTGGTGACCCTGTTTCACTACTCTAAATTAAAAATAAGATTATTATAGAAAACAAAACTCGTCTTGAATTGTAAGCTGATTTTCTCATTTTTACTTTTAATATGAAAGATCTTAAATTTTACCAATCACATTTACTCCAGTCGAATCGTTTACGCCAGTAGTATCATTTATCCTGAACAACAACAACAACAACAACAACAACAACAACAACAACAACAATGTAACTTCATGCAGCATTGACTTAAATGGAGCAAGACGTGCACGTTTAAGTAAGGTAAGTAACAAACAAGTGTGACGGAACTAAAAAACCTTCTATGCCGTTAAAATTATTCAAACCACCAGATGGTGGTTCGGTCAGGGCTCCGAGAGAACAGCGACGCATTGGAAGTGGGGTTCCAACGTGGGGTGCGGAATGATCGCACACTGTCCGAGACCAATTTCGTGAGGAACTGCTCCGGCATTTACCCGATGTATATCGGAGAAATCACGGAAACTATCTATGAGAGCAACCGGCCGTCATGAATCTCCAGAGAGCTTGGAATTTATCACTGCCTTGCCTATATATTTACGAATCTGTAATATTTGTCAAAAGTGACTTACTTAACGGTGGGAACATATTTTATAATATAATACAATACATGTACGTTACTTTAAAACGCATTGCCAGATGACCTTAAACAATTAAAGTCTGTTCAAAAATCTAAGTTAAAAGTAAATTTTTTTTCTGCTGCATAACTGTTTCTATACAATTAGAGACTATACTGATTATAAAAAAATGTGTATTTTAACAAAACAGTGATATATAATGAATTAATTTTACATTTGTATTGTATATTTTTTATAAAGACGTGATATGTTTGTAAGAAATAATGTACTTCAGCTTCCGGGTCAATAACCTCCATCTCCATTATGTTTTGTCCAGTTTCCCTGACCCATTGAGCAAATGCTGAGATGGCCCCTTGTTTTGCTTTTGGACGTAAATGTAGCGTCACTATGAGCACGTTTTGTTGAACTTTCCTGTTGCTTGTAATGGTAAGAGAAGAGGTAAGGGCGAGTTACCATTTTCTTAGAAATGCAGAAAAATCATACTTGCAATTCGTTTACCGATGCAAATAAGTTTTCTATAACTCGGGAACGAAAATGTCTATTTTTTCAAATACTTCTAATCTTGCGATTTTCAAAATTTATTTTTATTTATGTTAAACTTTTGCTCATCTTTCAACTATTTATAGTTAACATGACGGGAAGGGATTCTGGAACACAAGAAAACGTGCGCAAATAATATTCTCCCCCATACGTCACATACAGTTTTTACTGTGTTTTTTTTTACTAAATTAATCTAAATCTAACACAAGGGACCATCTAAGCATATGCTCAATGGATCAGGGAAACAAGACCAAAAACTCTTCGAGATGGGGTCCATTGACTCTCAAGCTGAAGTACATTGTGTCGTCAGAATCTATGTTCCGTGGGCCCTTGTTGCCGAAATATTGGCTTCCGGCAAGCCTCTGTCGTCAAAGCTTGCACCTAATCATTCAATTTTTTCCAAAATGGATATTTACCAATCGAACGCGAGCCAGTACGAATGTGAAAATGAGATCAGTGCCTTCTTTTAAGCTTTTGTTGCTCAAAAGTAAAAAAACAAATTTAAAAAGGAGCCGTTTTTACCTTTTCACCTCACTTCGTAAGGAGAGAAACTATTGTAATCGTGGGTCGGAAACTAACGATTTATCAACAGAAAAAGCTAATTAGCGGATCCTGGAAAATAAAGAGTGCATACATGAGTGTATACATATATTGGGATGTAATTTACGTGTACGTGTTCCTCGTACACGTAAATTACATCCCAATATACTGTAGTCAGAATCCATGTTTGTCCATTTGTAAAATTCCTAAGTATTTATTAAAATAATTGTAATAAAGTAGTATAGGCAATTAGATTAAACATTAAATATTTATTACATTAATCATTACTTAAGAATTAAACATTAAATACTTAGAAGTGTCACCTGCATCCACCTCGGGTTAATGTAAACGATAAATAACATTTATTTACAACTATAAATTATATAAGATTCATAATGATATAATATCTAATGTGTACCACCATATTAATGTTTCTATTTGTTGTTAACACCTCCAGCAAGCAGTAGCACATCACCCCTTCCCCCACAGAATCTACAGTAATCATAAAATAAACTTCGATAATCACAAGATTCTGGCTGTAGAACCATCTAAATTTTCAAGAAAATATTCAGAAACGCTTCACATAAAAACTAATCAGACATTTAATAACTTAAAAGAATGTAATGCCTTAACTAATACATATAATATTATTTTGCCAGGAAAATATAAATTAGCTTGACCAGTTGAACTACCGGTTCACCTTCCATCTTTTTTCCAACTACGAAAAATGTTTCTCCTTAGTTCCTCGCTAGTTCTCTTCCTGAAAGATATAGTTAACAACTGTATTAAGACGAACATTTAAAGTTGTATATTTCTTTGTGGAAGTGTGTTGTGAGTTGGACTTGTATTCGTATTTATGTATGGCGAGTTTGTGCCCTCCATTACAAGCTGTCGTTCAACTTTGTTTTATCACAATTACTAGTACTGTAAATTTAAAGATCTAATATGAAGTGTATCTTTTTTAATTTTAAGTGCAAATTTTATGCATAATAGTTTATACCTGATGGGACCACAATGTATTCATATCTTCTCCATGTCAAAAACAAGTTTTAAAAGGGATGACATTTGATATTTTAATAATTTAACTACGCTCAGGTAGTAATAACGTCATAATTATTTCATACAATTTCTCTGCGATGAACTTACTTGTATAGCGACGCCGTCAATTGAAACTGTCAGTTCCACTTTCGGTGTCTTCGCACCTTCAGCTTTGCGGAGCTGCTGGCTGAACTGCAGCTTCCTGATCGCCTCCTTCACGATCAAAATCCCTTTGGGCTGAGCTACTTCCGTTGTTCCCAGAAACTGCGCAAAGGAAATGCGAGAGCTTCATGAGACACACACACAAACACACAAACACACACACACACACGAGAGAAACTTAGTTCGGGCGACAAAGTTTTATTAGAGATAACACAGATTAGTTAACAACTACTAAATATACTTTAGCACAATCCATTTTGCACAAACAGGAATATAAGTACTTACGAAATTATTATTTTCGCCATAGATTGAGCCTTTCGTAATACATGATTCTACTGACAGTCGCACTGCAATTAATGTTCTGACCAAGCATAGACCAGAAGGGACTGGCGCTTGATAAACAAGTGTGCATTTCTGTGCACAACCAATATTTCCTCGGTGGCAACAGTCCAAATGTATCAGATAACAGTATTTGGGGAAACAAATGTCCAAGTCTCTCGTTACAAATCCAAGCTTCGTAATCCGGTATCTCGGACCGATAAATTACAAATAAATCCATCTACTTTGACACAAACAATGCGCAGCAAAATCAAATATATTTTAGAGTACAAAACGTGAGTTCGAAGAGACGAAACATATGGTAAGTTATTTTACACGGAAAAAATAAGGAAAATTGGAACGATAGAATCGAGATCGAGATCGAGTCAACTGACTGCACTTATTCATCTTGGGAAATAACTTAACAAAAGAAGATACAACAATTTTGCCAAGAGCACGATCAGTAATAAAATAGACAATAACCAAGTATTCTGGAAAGTTAATTGATAATTCTTAGTTCTCGGGCGACAGAAGTTGCGCAGTTATTTCGAAGAAAAGTCCTTTTGATTTTGATATATGATTTTTTATATCCACATTTGTTTTGTAATTACGTAAAAAATTCCACAAAATCGGAAATGTATTAAAGAAATACAACCAAACAAAAAATACAATATATATTTTTATTGACCTTTTCATTAAATAATAAAATATATTGAACGACAATTTATTGTAATGAAAAACAGTAATTTTACATCTTTAGTGAAACAGGTCCACAATCTGTACTAAGCATTCTACACACGTTATCAGGCAGCACTTAGTGACAGCAAGAATGTAAGTGAATTTGCAACCCAGATGTCCCCTCTTGGTATTGCGGTGACAATGGAAGTAAAGAATCACGGGAAATGAAAACCCATTCATTTGGTCAATTCTATACAGGTTATTCTGATAAACGAATATCACAGCCAACAGGGTTTAGGATCATTTATATAAATGTTTATGTTACATCTTACGTCCAATTCCGGCAAATTCTCGAATTAGCTCGTGAATGTTCATATTATTCAGTATGGGTGGGAAAATTTCCAAGTAGGAACAGCTTCGAAGCATTCGACTTTTCGCCAGTGGTGGATCCAGGGGGGATCCAGGGGGAATACACTACAAAACATCTACCCGATGCGACGATGTGACGAAGAATAACACTAGTGGGCTGTAACAGCAAAAATACAGCTGCGCAAACCCATACAAAATGGGTTTTCTAAAACGTATCACGGACACTAAGCAAGAATAAATAAAATTATCTCGTATAACACAGCAATAAATTAAATAATTTAACAAAACATTCATGTATTACTCCAATATAGTTGTAGGATTATCAGTAAAACTTCATTTACAATCCAAACATATTTTAAAAAAATCAACTGCTGATCCATAACGCAACACGTAAATAGCAATTACTTAATGGCAAACTCTTCCTTTGGCCCTTGCTATGGCGTGACATCACTGTGACAAGTAGTGACGCAGCGAGCATGAGAATTCAGCCGGTTCGCGTCGAACGAGAAAAGAGGGAATAACGCTTCAAATATTTGCGATTTTATTCAAAATCGAAAATTTATCTCACATGGCCACAAGTTGCATAATTTTCTTTCAATTTTCGCGCGCATTGGAAATTTGTAATAGTATACATTAAATAAACAGACTGCTGTTGGGAAGTTCCTAACACTAATAAGAGAGGCGAGATGTGAGTTTCGAATTCCGCTGTGTCGGTCAATGTCTATTTACACGATACTACAAAACCAAAACTAACATCACTACATCCCTCACTTGAGGCTTCGACACGCATTTCCAAGTTGGCGGCGACCTTCGCGTCTTAAATAAAACAACCTTCATATTTTCAATCGCATTTTGATGCCAAAATACTTATTGGGAATACAGACGCCTCACGTTCTCACAATCAGTCCCCTTACGTTAGACAACGCCCAGTTGCCAATGCCAAACATTAGCAAGATTAATTCCAAAATGCTCCGCTCGTTATTCATAT